CACCCTCTGCTGATTTCAAGTACCACTCAAATGCTTTTTTCTCATCTTTTTGTGTTCCGATTCCTTCATCATAACACAAACCAAGATTAGATTGTCCTCTAGTATGTCCACCCTCTGCTGATTTCAAGTACCACTCAAATGCTTTTTTCTCATCTTTTTGTGTTCCGATTCCATTTTGATAGGTATATCCTATCAAGAATTGAGCTGAAGGATTGTTATTATCTGATAGCTCTAAATAAATGCTAAATGCTAGTTCAACGCTCTTTTCGACTATAAATCCAGTTTGAGAAAGGAATCCAAAAAGTAACTTATATCTAACATTGGTTTCCAAATAATTATAGATCTCGAGAGAACTCTGACTGTGTGTGTTATAATACAATTGTAATTCAGCGCCTATTTTATCAAAAGCTTTACCTTTGGCGAGTAAATTGTTTAATAAAGTTACTAATTCGTCAATAACTTTGAAACCCTGTTCATCATTTGAAATTTCTAATTCTGAAACTTTCAATTCTTCTGAAATGTCAGTAATATTTAATTCTTCTTCTGAAATGTTAATAATATCTAATTCTTCTGAATTGTTTTCAGCATCTGAAAAATTAATAATATCTGATTCTTCCGGTGCTAAAGGAAGCGGTGCAGCTGTCCAATTTATTTCTTCAAGTTGCTCGTTTACTTCGTTGATGTCTGGGCGATTTTTTAGTTCATCATCCCAGCATGCTTGATAAAGGCTAACATATTTATCTGGAGTTCCATCAATTCTTTCTTCTTTTTCTGACGAAGAAGAAAAAACATACCCGTATTTGTTAAAAGGAGGACGACCGCTGGAGATAACCCAAAATAATACTCCAATGCTAAAAATATCTGATTTCTTATTTCGTCTGAAATTTTCTCAGAAATGCTGGATCAATGTAACTTATCACACCTAAACCGGATTTCGAGTTAGACTGATTATTTTGAAAGTTTTGAATAGCCTAAGTCTGAAATTTTGATTTTTTCCCCTTATGAACGAGTATATTTTTATGATTCTTTATATTGACAAACGGTTCAAGTTAATGTTTATGAAATCTAATTTAATACTATGATAAAATACAAATGTTCCTTACCAAATCCCGATGAATAATGCCTGCATCATGTATACACTTTACTCCTCTAGCGAGTTGTTTTGCTAAATTCAATTTATCATTGCCACTTAAGTTGTTAAAATTAACATCCAAATATTCTTCGAGAGTTCCATCTTTAGCATATTTCAAAACAAGCATGTATTTCTCGGAAATCGGGTCTAAAGAATATTTGTGTTAATTTATTAAATTAGAAGATTAAATAAAAACTTAATATATTTTACCTTGAGTGATTCCATAAAAGTGAATAATGTTTTTATGATGTGCAAGTTTAATAAGGACTTTCATCTATAGAGTGAAGCATGTTATTAATATTGAATTTAGATGTTACAATTCTCAAATAAAGTGATACCTCTTTAATAAATTGTTTATTTATTTCTTTATTATATCTTTTATCTTTTATATAAAGACATTTTAAAGCAACAGTTAAATCTCCATCTTTTAGCACAGCTTTGTAGACTTCACCAAATGCGCCATTTCCAATTACTTTTTCATCAGAAAATTCATTAAAATCAAAAAATTTTATTTGTTCTTCTGATTTAACATATTCCAAGCAATCAATTGCTGATGCTATTTTTTCTGCTTGGTGCATGTACATGTATATAAAACATGATACATGTACACGTATACATGTATATACTGTAGAAATGGTAACGGTAACGAACATTGATTAATCCAAATACAGTTGTAATCTTCATGCCAGGTGAGTTAACGAATTAATGGATCGTGAAATGTTACATGTATTTGTTACAAATGTTAAAGGTTTTAAGGAAAGATCAAGGAATTTATTGTTACTACCATAACAATATTAATTTCAACTATGGGATATCAATGAAACAATGAACTAAAGAGATATTAGTACATTATGACTTTCATCTTGTATATATTAATATATAGGTAACTTTGCAGGACCAGTTCAAAAGTAAAGGAACTAAAAGATTGTCTACGATTTCTACAATATTAACTGAATACTTACCATTTTCAGTATGACAGATTTTAAAAAGAAAGTTCTTGAATTAGAAAAGCAAAAAAACACAGATATTCTTTAGTTTGAAACATAGATCATATTTTTGGCTTTCATACTAACATCGAATATTTAAGAATTATAACAAATTCCAGTTTGTATGTTCACTGATAATTAGCAAAATAATATTAATCCTGAAAATAATTTGTTTCATAAAATACACGATTTCAATTATAGGATACTATGCATAATAAGAAAAGGATTCGGTTCCATTTAATTTATATGATTGAATATAGTTGGGTAATACTGTAATTGTAATTTTGGTCTATAAAATTATGGATCATTGAATTCCCGATGTTCTTGAGTCAATGCACATGGAGCACAACACCACCAAATACATGCATCATCAATAATTCCTCCCTATTATATATCGAATTAAATTCAAATTTTGCAAAAAATACACATACATTCATAAAAGAGTACGAACGTGAATATTAATATTCTTCTTTCTTCGAAGGTGAATACGATTTATGGTCCCAAGACAGCACCAGACACCAAATAACATTGAGCAAAAGAAACAACAACACTGAACAGGTTCGTCTGCACCATCCGCTTTGAATCTAGTTTTGCCCTAGACATAGAAACATGTATAAACATTAAAAGCTTGGCAATAAAACTGTACTTGCACTATTCATGAAAACTTACATATAATATGCATGGACAACAAAAAGCCAGGCAGCCTGTAATCCCAATGATGATTATTAAAACTTAGCTATGACCAGAATACTAATATACATTAATACTTACAGACGCTCATATTATCAAAACATTCACACAATCCATATTTCCATGTTGTTGGCTGTGCTGGTACCGGTGTTGTGGATATTATTTGAATATCGGTATCCGATGTCATTTGCGGCTGTGATTGGTAGCAAGCTTGAGACATTTTAAGCTAAAAGACTTAAAGTATTATAGTAATCCAAAATTCAACCTTTCAAACTAGTTCACCTTTTTATACAGTATTTACACACACTCACACTTTGCCATCTGTAACACGATACCGGTGCAGCGTTGCAGTTTCACGACAAGATTGGCGCAATCATTTTCGTTTTCCTTTTCAATTCTCGATAACAGAAAGTCAGTTTGCAAAGTACTAATAAATGTGCATAGTGACTTAAAATCCAAAATTTTATTTATACATATACATGGAGAAATTTTTTCATGTTAGATGTACATGTATAATGGTTCCCGATTTAGCTATATTGTCATACATGTTACATGTACATGTACTTTGTTCATGACCATTTTTGGTCATTTAACAATGATAAAAATTAGATGGTTGAAATATAATCGCTAAAATACGTTCTTCTACAGGTGCACTCGTTCTTATTAATGTCATTCATGCTATCTCTCTTCACAACGAATCTGACAAAAATTTAATGTGTGACGGTCGTGTTTCCGATCTCCAAAAAATTGCTATGATAAGTTGAATTATGAATAATATGCGTGCAAATGCGGAATAAATGTTCAATTACTAATCGTTCTTCGTTTAGAAGACCTCGTTAAAGGTTTTCTAGTTTGTATTCATCACAGATTGGTTCTTTACGACTGATCTATTTTTATTATTACAAATATTTATTACATGTACTCTGTTAACATTAATAATGCAATGTTTAGAAAGAACATGCCTCATTCGCGTAATGTTCAAAAATTTCCATGAAATATATATTGTATTATAAATTATTGGATAATGATAACAATATATGTACATGTACCATATATTTATTATTTTTCTCGAAGAAAACACTCAAATCAATAATTATATAACTAAAAATTATTTATATTCAAAGTTTTTCGTGCCTTGATTGGATTCTTCTATTATAATTAAAGTTTAATGATAGTTTATGTCTGCTATAATTAAAAAGATCAGTGAGGATAGCTCCCACAAAAATAAGTTATTGCACAATTTAAACACTTCATCAACCATATTTGCATTTATACATTTATTTACAGGTCTACCAGATTCATATCAGAATATAAAATTATTTGTTTCATAATATTTGCCGCTGAATTCCATTCCAATAGATTATATCTCCAA